TTTTTCCATTTCCCTTGGCATTCTTTTCTATTTTTCTTCCCTTTTCCTTCTTTGTTTTGTTTTAACTTGTACACGACATTCACAATCCAAGCTGCCCGGATCAAAGCATGATTTTGAAACACTCCGCTCTCGCGTGAACCTTTGACAGGGAGATGCTTAGCGTGGGAACAATGCAGGGCCCACCCCCACACCATCACGCGCGCCGCACTTTGATCCGGGAGACTTTGAATGAGGCTCTCCCTGGACTTACAGAAAGCCCTCGCACGCCTGCAGCCCTCCCAGTAACCAGCGTGCTGAGCCAAACACGGCATCCGGCCGAGCGCAGAGCCACCATGCCTTGTGCAGTGCGCCAGAGCCGGAGCACGGATCTTCCTGCACAGACTAGCCCATTCCGAAGCAATTCCTTGGGAATATATCTTTATAGTTTTCCTGATTACAAAAAGTAGTGAATTCTTTCTTTCTTTTTTTTTTTTTTGAGAGTTTTTTTTGCTATAGGGCGCGTGCGCTCGCTAGGCAGAGAGAGACAGAAAGACAGAAAGCGAGAAATCACCCCCCAGGAGGGATGGCCACGCCGCAGTCCCTTCGCCTCCATTCTCTTCTGGGGATCTTGGGCACGCACGCACATGCGCCTGGCGTGAGTTTTAAGCCACCAGGTCCGGGACGCGAACCGCGGTCGACTACGTGGGAGTCCAGCGACATAGCCATTATGCTAACTGCTGGTTCCCAGAGTAGTGAATTCTTTCTGAAAAATGTTAAAATTGGAAACACCTCATAATGCTACCCACCTCCCTCCAAGAAAAGAGAGAATCCTTGTTGACAATGAATTAATAAATTTGTCTTCAAATCATCTGCTTTTCTCTGTTTCTTCTGTCTGTGGTTTGATTGAGGACATGGCATAACTGAAGTGCTCAGGATTAAGGAGGTGACTCCTTTTTGTTTTCTCCTCACTTTGCTCTTCCTGTGTAAGACAAGCAGAGAAACTGAAAGAGGAAAGAGGGTATCATGCTTCCAAAGTGCGAATGAGTCAATTAGTAAACAAATCTAGATTGGAGAGCTGTGTCAGTATCATTTTATCGGGTAGTGAACTGGGTAGTCTCAGTACAGACAGGACAGTTCTTTGTGTTGGTTTTGATTTAATTTTTGGCCAATAAATATTGCTTCATTTTCTTTGTATATCAATATGGAGAAAGAAATTCAATGTAAATTTAATAGGAAAATGGGAATTTTAAACAAGCTGGAATGTGTATTCCAGCATCCAAGGTTTACAAATCAGGAAACTAAGGCTCTAAGGGTTGTCCGAGCCATCCTCTGTCTGCACCTCGTCGGTGTTGTGGGCTGGCTCAGCATGCTCTGTATGGGGGCTCTCTAACAGTTCTTAAGCCACTGTTTTTTTAATGAACAGTGTTCTGTAGAGACCATCAAAACTTGCAGGTAATTAGTATTAACACCTGAATATGTAAAGTCTTTGAGACATCATAGTTTGGATAGGTAATGTATGTATGAGGGGATATCCAACAGGTTGTAGAGGCCCAGCCTGGTGGTGCAGTCAGTAGCAAACTGAACTGCAGTGCTGGAAGCTGTATGGCTAACTGCAGGTTCAGATCCCTGGGCCAACCTGAAAACAAGCGGGGTGTGTGTGTGCATGCCCAATATCCTAACGAACTGGAAGGCTGGGGTAAAGGGATGGCAGTGTGATGAGACTGTCGAGGGTGGGCCTTTCTCTCTCATGAGCACATGTGCTCTCTCTGTCATGAATAAAATAAATGAATTTTTAAGAAGTGAAAAATGGACAGAACGAGTTTATTTCGGTGCAAACTAAATTTGAAATCCATGCATAGTTTTTTCATAATACACATTTTCCATAAGCTTTTGTTTTTTCAGATTTAATTTTTGCTAAAAAGTGTGTGTGCTCACCAGAGAGAAAGAGGAGGAAAGTGAGTTAGCACTGTCCAGAGGTCACAGCTATGCAGCAAGCCTCTCTCCTACATTCTCCTCTTGGGAATTCTGGGCACACACATTTCCAACATCCTCCTCAAGTTGCTGGATCTGGGATTTGAACCACGTAGTTGGCCATGTGGGTCTGGCCACCTCAACTTACCACACCATCGGCTGGCTCCTCCGTGAACTTTTTGAAGACCCTTTGTCAATAAAGTATCTGACAGACCCTATAAAGAAATTAAACCATGTATTTATAACTCCCGGTTCTACCACCACCTATGCTGCTTTCAATAAGGCACATAACTTCTCTGGAACTGCATTCCCCATCTATGAAATGGTAATACTGTACTGCTCCCCTCTCTGGGAGGGAGTAGGGATTATTGATATAATGTATATGATGTTCTGGGCATAGAGTAAGCGCCCAGTAAGTGTTAGTGCTTACTAACGTGTTTATAAACAAAGGATTATGCTTCTCCTTCTGTATTCTGTAATGCTTATTTATCAAGTTCTGTATTCTCCAATGCTAATATTTCAAACTATCTTGAATGCATATCTACACCTTTCTTTTTATGATTACACTGTAATTAGTATATATAATGTACTATGTGTAGTTCTTGAACTTGTGGAAATGATTTCTATATGAGCCAAAGAGTCATTTGTTTTGCTCGTTCTTAGCAAACAGTGCCATGTTCTGATGTCCAAATCTAGGGAAGCTTGAGACCCACAGAGTTTTGTTTGAACAAGAATCTTGGCCTCTTTTAACAAATATAAAAGAATCTTCCTACTCTCCAAAAATATTAAATTGCTAACTACTTCAAGGAGCTCTCTCTCAAGTCAATTTCTAGGCTTGTTAAACTTAGAAATTTTCTATTTGGTTACTCTTGCTTACTAAAATATCACTCTTGATATCAAATGACTAATTTTCTGCCTTGGTAAGTAAGTGTCTGGATGTTTCACCGACTTTAGCCTCTGAACGTTCACATGACTGGCTTAATTAGAAAAGAAGAAAGTGCCATAATTCTGCCTAAGCTAACAATCACCCAGCAGTGGGAGTCCTAGCGAGACCCTTTATTATTCACACGCTCCTGGCTTCTTGAATAAAGTGGATGACTGAGTATGCTTATCACAGTAAGAGAGATTATTAGCAGTGGAAGACACATTTGAACTTGCTGAAAGAGCTGCCTTTGTATCTAGGAAGACCGACACTTGGTAATTATTAGACCAGGTCTTCGTTTTATCCCAGTGGCCTTTCCTTTTTCACGCTCCCAAAGTCTGAATAGTTTTCTATTGCCTGTTAATCCTCACAGGAATGTGGCTTTGGCTATGGGGAGGATGCACAGTGCGTGACGTGCAGGCCGCACAGGTTCAAGGAGGATTGGGGCTTCCAGAAGTGCAAGCCCTGCCTGGACTGTGCGCTGGTGAACCGCTTTCAGAAGGCCAACTGTTCAGTCACCAGTGATGCCATCTGTGGGGACTGCTTACCAGGGTAAGTCAGACGATTTAGTCATTAGTGCAGTATCTTTTCTAAAGGGGTGTTGCTCTTGTTCCCTTCCACATTTGAATGCACACGGATAGTAACCCAAAAGTGTTTGTGGTATGGTCATGAGTTTTTGTCTCAGTATTCACCACCAGATATTTTTTGGAGAGTTGTTTTTTTTTGTTTTTGTTTGTTTGTTTGTTTTTTGCTATAGGGTGCATGCACTCGCCAGAAGACAGAGAGAGACAGAGAGACAGAAAGCAGGAAATCACCCCCCCAGGGGGGATGGCCACGCCGCAATCCCTTTTCCTCCATTCTCCTCTCGGGATCTTGGGCACGCACACACGCGTGCCCGGCGTGAGTTTAAGCCACTGGGTCCGGGATGCGAACCGCCGTGGGAGTCCAGCGACATAGCCATTACACTAACTGCTGGTCTCATGAATAGACATTTCTTGAAGAAGTTATATAAATGGCCGTGAAGCATATGAAAAGATATTCAGTATCATTAATCATCGGAGAAATGCAAACCAAAACCACATGAACTGGGATGGCCGTAATCAAAAAGACAGGCAATATCGGGAACCAGCAGTTAGCATAATGGCTGTGTCGCTGGACTCCCACGGCGGTTCGCATCCCGGACCCAGTGGCTTAAACTCACGCCGGGCACGCGTGTGTGCGTGCCCAAGATCCCGAGAGGAGAATGGAAGAGAAGGGATTGCGGCGTGACCATCCCCTCTGGGGGGGTGATTTCTCGCTTTCTGTCTTTCTGTCTCTCTCTGTCTGTCTGGCGAGCTCATGCGCCCTAAAGAAAAACCCTCTCAAAAAAAAAAAAAGACAGGCAATAACAAGTGTTGGTGAAGATGTAGAGAAACTGGAACCTTTAAACATTGGTTGAGGGAATGTAAATATGAAATAGTACAGCCATGGTGGAAAACAATCTGGTGTTTCCTCTTAAAGTTAAACATGGAGTTATCATGTGTCCATTCTTAGGTATATAACAAGCAGAACTGAAAATCTACATCCATGCAAAAACTAGTGTTCATAGCAGCACTGTACATAATAGCCCAAAGCTAAACAACCCTGCTATGGTTTGAAAGTGTCCTCTGCAAAATTCAGATGCTTCCAATGTGATGGTATTAAGTTGGGTTTTTGTTTATTTGTTTAGATTTTTGCCACAGGGCATGTGCATTCCCTGGAGAGAAAGAGAGACAGCAGATAGAGAGGGAAAATGAGAAAGCCTTGAGGCGGGTTGGGGAGTGGGGAGGTATGGCCATGCTGCAATCCCTTCTCCTTCTTTCTCCTCTCTACATTTTGTGCGTATATGCACACATACCTAGCATGATTTTCAAGTCACTGGGCCCTGGACTCTAACCACAGAATAGACCATGTGGAATCCAGTGCCTTAACCACCATGCGACCTGCTGGCCAAATTGTTTTGTTTTACATTTTAAGAGTTCTTTTTTTTTTTTTTTTTTTTTTTTGCCTTAGAGAGTATGCACTCTCCAGAGAGAGACAGACATAGTGAGAGGGTAAGTGAGAAATCACCCTCCAGAGGGCGTGGCCACATTGCAACCCCTTCTCCTCCGTTTTTCTCCTGGGATCTTGGGCACTCATGCACATGTGCCTGACATGGTTTTCAAACCACTGGGTCTGGGATTCGAACCACAGTCAGCCATATGGGAGTTCAGGAACATAACTGCTACACCGTCTGCTGGTCCCCTAAGTTAGGATTTTTAAGAGGTAATTAGGTCATAAGATTCTATAGTTTGATATTCCTCCCCCCAAAATTCCTGTTTTCATCTGTTGTAATGGAATTAAGAGGGGGAAAGCTTAATCTGATGATGGAATCAAAATGTGGTCCTTTTGGAAAAAGATTAGTGATTGGGTGGTTTGGACAGGCCTCCACGATTGAGTTCTAGTGGGTATGTATATATATATATATATATACATATACCAAGAGAGGAAATGAGGCAGCGAAAAAGTTACTCTCATTCAGAAGATCCAGAAAAAAATGCAGAGATAGCAGAGCCATACTCTGACCTGCTACATATTTTGCCTTCTACCATTTTGTGATGCCTTCGGACTTTCCAGCCAAAATATATCCCTATTCTCTTTCATTTACCCAGTCTTAGGTATATCTGTTGGCAATGCAAAGTGGACTAAGAGAAGCCCAAACGTCTGTCCACTGATGGATAGATAAACAAAATGAAGTAGATTTGCACAACATAAAAAGGAAGGAAATTCTGATTCATGTTACATTGTGAATGACCTAGAAAATATGTTAAATGAAAGAATCTGGTTACAAAAGACCACATATTACCTGTTTCCTTTTTTATGAAGTGACCAGAAAAGTAAATTTATGGTTTTCTGAACTGAGAGCTGGGTAGGGGGAGAGAATGACGGGCAACCTCTGAAGATTATGTGGTTTCTCTTTTTTGGGGTAATGATGGAATGTTCCCTGACTGTGGTGATGAGTGTATGACCCTGTGATAGTAAAAAAAAAAAAAAAAAAAAAAATTTGAATTGTATATTTTAAATCTGTGGGGACCAGCAGTTAGCGTAACGGCTATGTCACTGGACTCCCATGTAGTCGACCGCGGTTCAAGTCCCAGACCAGTGGCTTAAACTCACGCTGGGCGCGTGTGCGTGCCCAAGATCCCGAGAGGAGAATGGAGGAGAAGGGATTGCGGCGTGGCCATCCCCCCTGGGGGGTGATTTCTCATTTTCTGTCTCTCTGTCTCTGTCTGGTGAGCGCACACGCCCTATAGCAAAAAAATAAATAAATAAATATAAAAAATAAATATGTAATATTTTCTGTCTCTCTGTCTCTGTCTGGTGAGCGTACACGCCCTATAGCAAAAAATAAATAAATAAATATAAAAAATAAAAATGTAATGGCTTATAATCTCAGACCTATGGTGATATCTACGGCTGTCATTATCCAGAGTTTTGATCTTGGGCAAACAAGATCATGAACATGAACTTAGACATCTTATACATCTCTATTGGTTCATATTCTGTAATTCTCTGGTAAAGGTCTATGCATGTCTAGTCTCTTCATCTGTGAATGGAGAAAAGAGGAGGTCCAAAGGGTGTGTACAGGTTGAGGTAGGCAGTATTCAGAAAGAATGCAGGATAAGCATGCCCCAAGACTTTTTTTCTTCTTCTTGTTTATTTCTCATTAGAGAAAGAGAGACAGGCACCCTCAACAGAGTTCCCATGCTGTGATCCACCCCCAGTCTCCACCAGTCCACATCACAAGCATATGACTATACACCGCATGCTCAGGAAGGTCCTGGAATGCAAACCCATGACCTTTCCCATGTAGGTTCGGTTGTGTTGTCATTATGCCACTGCCTGTCCCCACACCCTTGGGGTTTTACAAAGGAAACTCACAAGGGTTGTACTGCTGCAGTGTGAGAGAGCAGGTCTCCCCAGGACCTTCTACCAAACATGGTTTCCTATGCTTAACTGCATTTATTTGTCATTTGAGCTTACTGCTTCAGTTTCTACAATGTTTGTGCATTCTTCAAGTAAATACTTAAATGGGGGAAAGTTATAAGGGAGTAGACATTTGATTGATGTTTCATGGTTTATTTATATGATTAGTTTAAAATTACATCCTCTCTTAGCCAGCATTAAAGTGTGAGTAGACAATAATTACGTAGTGACTTTTACCCAGGTCTTTCCAGAGTGTTTAACACTGCTCTTCCAGCTTGACTGTATTTCTCTGAAGAAAGCAAATACTGGATTGTCAAAACAGTCATGATGCATTTTTTTCATATTTAAACATAGAAAAAATATGTCATGATTTTTCTAACAACCCAATAATTGAAAACCATTTTGTTGACAGCAAAAACTGAGGTGGAAAGAAAATGAGCAAAATGTATATCACTGTCAGAGAAATAGCAGTCAGGTGACATTGTTATTTTGGGTGCCTCAGCCTTTCTCTAATAAGGATCTGCTACGCCCACAGGCTCATGCCTGCAGGACCCCAGCTGCTTCCATCCTGGGAGCAGGCAGGGTAGAGACGGTCTCCTTCCTGTGCCCACCTTCTGAAAGATTAGAGAAAGCAAATCCCCTTGTTCCTGAATATGTTCAATGACTTTAGTCCAATTACTTAACTTCTTAACACCTGTAAAAATTATCTGACAATACAAACCTGCAAAATAGTTAGATAAAAAAGATCCTTCATGTCAAGTACATAGTAGAGTACGTAGGCCACAGTAAGCACCAAATAAATTGTGGACACTATTACCCACTAGTGGCCTTGAGGGCCAAGGAAAAAGCATGGCTGCTTTTCCGGAATGTGGCCGATGGACTTTCAGCCTCTTCTGGCCTCCTGTGCACCCGTCTCTTCTCTGCAGATGGCATCTCTTCTCAGCCATGACAGCAAAGCTCGCTTTTATTGCTCACTTACTCTGTGTTGAGCACTTTGTGCGTATTATTTAAATCATCAGAACCACTCTGTAAAATAGGGATTGTTATCACCCCAGCTTTACAAAGATGAAACTGACCCTTGGAGTCGATAAATACTTACCCAAGGTCACCCAGCTGCTAAATCAAAGCCCTGGGATCCCAACCCAGCAGCTCCCTTTCTGAGCCCCCCTGCCTGGGCACATGTCTGAGTTCACTGGGAGACTGCCCCGGGACGGCCGTGACTGATGACAGATCACGAGGGCTGCCTCTGTGCATTTGCGCTCCATACTCTTTCTGCCTCTCCAGCCTCAGCCCACCCACCTCTCTACTCCATCAGTTCCTTGCTCCAGAAAGCTGCCTGAACCTTCTGTTTTGTCATCCTCTTGCTCAGCTTCCCTTCTGTTCCTAGGGTGCTCTTCAGTAACCATGGCAGGGAGTAGAATAATTTTAAGATGTATAAATTTCTTTGTCCATTTAGTCATAGAAAGCCAAATCTTTTCTTTTTTTTTTTTAAATGTTTTTAAGAGATATTTTTGCTATTGGGTGCGTGCACTCACCGGAGAAACAGAGAGAGACATCCCCTTTGGATATGGCCATGCCACAGTCCTTTCTCCTCCATTCTCCTCTTGGGATTTTGGGCATGCAAGATCCTGAGTTTCAAGCCGCAGGGTCCAGGACACAAACCATGGTCAGCCATGTGGGAGTCCAGCAACATAAACATTACTCCATCTGCTGGTCCCTTCAAGTCAAATCTTAAAACTCTAATTTCTGGGTCTTTTTTTTTTTTCTTTTCTTTTTTTAGAGAGGTTTTTCGCTATAGGGCGCGTGCACTCGCCAGACAGACAGAGAGAGACATAGAGACAGAAAGCAAGAAATCACCCCCCAGGGGGGATGGTCACGCCGCAATCCCTTCTCCTCCATTTTCCTCTCGGGATCTTGGGCACGCACGCACACGCGCCCGGCGTGAATTTTAAGCCACTGGATCCAGGACGCGAACCGCAGTAGACTACGTGGGAGTCCAGTGACATAGCCATTACGCTAACTGTTGGTTCCCTAATTTCTGGGTCTTAATCCTTAAGTTGTATTGTAATATTATCAGACTTCTTAAATTAAAAAAAATATATATCAATGTCTTTGATCACTACTACATAATTAGTCATTTAGGAATTCCCCCGTGCTTTTTTAGGGGGGGAGGGGGAGAGGTTTTCACTATAGGGCGCATGCGCTCGCCAGACAGACAGAGAGAGACAGAGAGACAGAAAGTGAGAAATCACCCCCCAGGGGGGATGGTCATGCCGCAATTCCTTCTCCTCCATTCTCCTCTCGGGATCTTGGGCACGCACGCACACGCGCCCGGCGTGAGTTTAAGCCACTGGGTCAGGGACATGAACCGCGGTCGACTACGTGGGAGTCCAGCGACATAGCCATTATGCTAACTGCTGGTTCCCCCTCTGTGCTTTTTTATGGTCCCTGAATTTCAAATGTTAAAAATGAACACTTTTCTTATGAGGTGTTTTACAGTTTCAATTATAATAAAATGCCAAAGACTGGGGGCTTCATATCATTTGCCAGTATTCTCACTCCACTACAGAAAAAGTGTGGGCTGAGATGAATCTGCAGTTTTGTTTAGTGGAATTGCTATTTCTTAAGTGTTCACTGCCTGTTCAAAAAGGCCCTTCAAGGATGTGTCTAAGATACTACTGTGTTTGAGTCTTTGCATACCTTTTTTTTTTTTTTCAAGTATATAACTGGCAATGGAGAACGCTGGTGATTTATGACATAAATTGTATCGTCTGCAACTGTGAGCTTAGATGAAAGTGCTAATAAGGATTCTTTTTCTTTCTCTTCTAGATTTTATAGGAAGACAAAACTTGTTGGTTTTCAAGACATGGAGTGTGTGCCTTGTGGAGACCCTCCCCCTCCTTACGAACCACACTGTGAGTGAATGGGATACATACACAGCAGAAGGGACACACGACCTTTTTAAGTCTTTTGCTTTTGGAAGCTTTTATTCATTTGGCAACATGAAGCCAACTCTGTCTGTACGGTGGGGATTATAGTGTACACTCTGATCTAGCTTCTCACAGGACACTAAAGCGCCTGTGTTGCAAGCCTCAGTCCACAAAGATCCACAGGTTTGAGTCTCACTGTGCAGTGCAGACGTTAGCTGCTGCTGGGCTCCATGCTCCTCCTCATCTCTCATCCGGGATTTGTCCTGAGGCAACTCCAGTTAACTAGGTGGTCCAGATCCTATGCATAAAGTCCTCGTGCCATGTCCTGTGAATTCTCAGGTGCCACCTTCTTAGTCCCCAAGCACGATCATGGGGTAGTGTCTCTGCCTTCTGGAAAAGTTCTTCTCTGTGAGTCACCTGCCCTAATTACCGTATTGTTAAGTGGAATCTTAGTTCACATCATTCATTCCTTCATTTTTCTCCTCTAGCAAATAAATGAGAAGGGGAACTCTACCCGCTGGGGATACAACTGTAACTGAGAAAATTGTGTCTTTTCCTCTTTATAGCGACATCAGCCCATCTTTTTGACCATTTATTTTTCTGAGATACAAAAGTTACCTGTTACAAGTTATCAGCCTACATTGATTTTGAATAGGAAGAATGTAGCTCCTTACTCTTCCCAATCCTAAATACAAACCTGAACAGTGAAAGCTCCCCAGGGAAGGGGCAGGAAGGAATCAGCAGGTGGTCTCCCCTGTGTGGCAGGGTGTGCTCTAGTGAGCAGTGCTTCCAGAGTACACGTGAATGAGCTAGGCCTAGGCAGGAGGCTGTCTTAGTCCATGATCGTATTGCTAACAGAAATACCCAAGATGAGGTGATTTATAAACACAGAGGTTTATTTGGCCCATGGTTCTGGTGGCTGAAAGGTCCCATAGCATGGGATTGGCCTCTGGCCAGCCTCTGATGTACCACAACATAGCAGAGACAACAGAAAGATTGGTGGACATGTGCAGAGAGAGACCTGATGGCAGCTCTTCCTTTCATAACAAGTCACTGATGTTAACATCTCACAAGATTAAGAATTCACTCCCTCTTACAAGACAGAATTAAACAGTTCATTAGGGTGGTGCCCCATAATTCAGACACCACCTGCCAGGCAGGTCGCCCCTCTTAAAGGTCTTGCCACCTCCTAACAGTACTGTATTAGAGACCATATTCCAAAACATGAAACTCTGGGGGACAAAGCATTATCTAGAGCATAGCAGAGGAGGACGGAGGGCTCTCTCCCATGCACAGGTTACCCATGAGTTTTTGGGGGCCTTTATTTTGATATGACTTCCAATGCTTGGGGCCTGTCTTCTTGCTTCTTTGTTCTATGACAGAAGTCTCCTCTGAACTGTCATTGCATTATTTGATAAGATCGTGAATGCTCTGAAAATGCATGACTTTTTATTCTTCATTTGAAGTTTAGAGGGAAAAAAAAGGAAAATTCTTTTTAACTTATATCAAAAATGCATACTGAGCCTCATTTTTATAATATGTAAACATTCATCAAATAATTCATGGCAGTTAACAAATGTGATATTGAATTGTGTCATGAATTAGTCACAGTATGGATGTTTTTTATTCTTCTTTTGAAGTTTAGAGGGAAAAAAAAGGAAAATTCTTTTTAACTTATATCAAAAATGCATATTGAGCCTCATTTTTATAATATGTAAGCATTCATCAAATAATTCATTGCAGTTAACAAATGTGATATTGAATGTGTCATAAATTAGTCACAATGTGGATGTTTTATTTATTTTATTTTGCTCACTTTTCTCGGGACTCAAACCATGGTCAAGCCATGTGGGAGTGTTCAGCACCTTAACCACCACAACACCTTCTGGTCCTACTTTTCTCAATCCTATATCATCTGCCCAAATTTATCAATGAAAACACTAGTCCAGAGAGGATCATTACTTTCCACTGTTGGCTGATAAATGGCGGAGATAGGATTCAGATCCAAATCTGTCCAACTCCAAATCTTTGCTTTTCTACCATACTCTACTGTCTCCAGAAATCAAAACAAAACAAGAAAACTGTAGTCTGCCCTACATGTGGACTTTTTCTTGTGGTTTTTGCTTTTAATGTTCATCTTCTAGCAAAATCTTTTAAAAATCCAACATTTGAGAGACACTAAAAGAACCTCTTTATGCTGCTATGCAACCCATGAAAGCCCACCTCCTCTTGCCAATTAAAACAGCAGGATCTGGCCTTGCCTGTAGATCAGCTCAGCTCTCATTATGTCAAGAAGGCAAGTTAAGATTGTGCACTTGGCCCCAAACTACCAGACAGGTTTAAGTAAAGAAACTGGTTTTGTCCAGGTTAGAGTTGGAAAGTGCTAGGTGTGTTCATTCCCTTTTAACTCATTGGGTTTAAATTTAAGATCACCTAGTCAAAAGTTTGAAGCTTCAGATTTTTTTTGCCATCTAGCTAAACTTAGACACCACAAATTAGCCTTTGGATGTAGCTCTCACATGTAATTTTTTGCGTGTCTTATGAAACCCTTAGTAATTTATAATTTGAAAAGAAAATTAACTCGTTTGATTCCTATATAATAGTGAGATTTCTCCATATACAACTTTTTTAGAAGACAAAAAAATTACTTGTCAGAGTCAAAAATGCAGCACGCAAAACTAATAGCCTTTCGAATTACAAAGCAAAACAGTCTGGCGGTCTTGGTGAGCATTTATCTTTATCTCTGTAAAAGAAAGTTTGCTGCCTTTGGCACAGTATTTGGGAATAATTCCAGAACACAACTAACTAATCTCCTCAAAAGAGGAGCTGGAGGTCCTTGGGGAAAATTATGTAAGGCGCCTTGTGTTTTCATTTCTTCTACTTTGGGCTCTTCAGCTCATCCACACAGAGCTGCGTCTTCCTCCCCCTCGGGAGTCCCTGTATCATGTAGACTCTTAGCTTTAACAAGTGAGGCCACTCAAGCTTCCTCCAGTGATGGGTTTGTCTCAAGGATACATGTGGTGGTGGGAGAGATAGAACTTCCCTGAACTCAGGGATGCCCTCTCTCAGCATCGAGTTGCTGTGAAGTCCAAGGCTCTTAGCACCCCTGCACAGGAGGTCCTGCACACCGACCTGCGTCTGCTCTACAGGGAGCAGAGACAGCTGCATGTGCCATCTGTGCAATTATGTCTTCTCATTCTTCTTTACACTCACTTTCTTTATTTAAGTTTCTTTATTCCGTGAATGAGAGACAAAGACAGATGGGCACTTCTAACAGGGTCTTTATGCCATGATCTACCCTCAGCCAGCCCCACGTCGTGGGCATTGCATAGCCAGTCTGTTCCAGCAGGTCACTGGATGAGAACCTGAGGCATTCCAGTGTGTGTCAGTATTGCAACGCATTGCTTTAGGGTTCAGGACCATTCTGCTGCCCCCTCACTTTCAGTGGCCACTTTGCTCTGTACTTTCCTTCTGGAGAGAATCCAGCTGGTCTGGTTAAATACTGTCTTCCTGGGAGGAGGACCTTTTTCACTGACCTGTTGGCCAAATCTTTGAGTACCTCCTGGGCACCAGGCATGTGTGGAGACCAAACAGCACCCAGCCCTATGCCTTGTGGAGCTGACAGTCTAAGAAGGCAGTTTTCAGATAGTAACTTGGAACTAACCGGGATCTATTGAGTATAGACTTCACACAGAGCTATAAAATTGTAACGGTGATCTGTCCTGTGCCCGGCAGGACTGTGGTGCTCTAAGAATATAGAATGGGCAGTGACATGGGATGAGGGGTTGCTTTTCCACATGGTGGCTCTTAGTCATGACCTAGAAAACCAGCAAGAAGACCATGAGCCTAAAAAGCAGAGTAAACAGAGACCAGAGAAGCAGGCGCGAAACCTGTCTTGCAGCTGTGGACCCTGTGTGCATGTCAAGTCGATGGGCCTTGGACATGTCCTTTAGACTTGGCTCCCGGAGATATTTAATGACTTCAGCAAGAGCCATTCTAGTGAGTAATGAAAATGGAAGCCAGAATATGATGAACTGAGAAGTTAATGCATGAGGAGAATGGAGACAGCCACTGTACACAACTCTGTCCAGATGTTTGCCTATGAAGAAGTGACAGGGCGACAATGGAGGGAGCTATGTGGGCAATCAAGGGGTTTTCTTTGTTTTGAAAAACCTATCTGTGTGTTTGAAGATGGATGGAGAGTGCAGTTCAGAGAGGATGACAGTTTTATATGAGAAAACCAAAGTGGGATCAGGTGGTTGGGAAGGATCCCAAAGCATGGGTGGTGAGCTGGCCTTCTGGGTAAGTGTAGGGGCTGGGGGGCTCCCTACTACGGCTGCTCTGGCCTTCTGGGTAAGTGTAGGGGCTGGGGGCTCCCTACTATGGCTGGGGAGCAGATGAGTGAACATGGGCTTACGCGTCAGTGGAAGGAGGATGAGGGTCTGTATCTGTGAAGCAGGAGTCACCACATTCTGCCAAGAGTGAGACAAGACAGGGAACTCAGAGGCCAGAAGGGCACAGGTGTTTAAGGCTCTGTGCTGAGAGTGGGAGGGGAGGTGGATTCCGTTCAATGGTGAGTTTCCTGGTAGCATCGAGAGTCCAGCTGAAGGCTGTGGTCTTAGCAAGGCATTGCTTCTCAAATGATGTGACTTTGGGGGTTTCTGCTGCGGGCATGACGAGGGCTATCTGTCTGTAAGACTGCCCTGAGACATGCATCAGTTACACCCTAAACGTGTAGTGTTTCTCAAGTTATAGCATGTCTCTAAGAAAGATGGCTTTCTAAGTGTTAATAACACAGGAGTAATTTTAAATGAATGTAAATAGATTTTTTTGTATAGTTATGTAATACCTGAAACAAATCAAGTATGCTCTCTGGAGGAGACAATGGCTGGGCCCCTGGGAAGGTGCCATACTGTATTGGCTTTGAAGCTTGTCTTGTGTTTACCTCCACTGGTGGGTGAGTAGTGACAGGGGCTGGGAAGGGC